CCTCCTGTGCTCTGCCTGCATTAACGGTATACACTGGCGGGTGAGACCTTCACTGGGCCCGATAGCGTATACCGTAACATGAACTTCAACTCAAGTCAGATAGCCCATCAAGACATACTCACCAAAATGATGAAGTTAAACTTCCAAGTATTGAGAAGTTTCAGAAATGATACGTCGATGCAGCAGTACTTTTATTTTATTCCTTTTTCAAATTACACTCCATATAAATTGCGTCGCTGTACATTCACGTCTGGTCGTCTCGAACAGAGAGAGAGCAGGCCGCTCCCTCCTTGTTCCCGCCTCTTTATCTCTATTACTATTGGTGGCGGCATAATCGTGATACCACCAACGTCACGTGACTCACTATGGTTCCAAATTTGAAATGTAAGTAGTTTGTGAGTATGGATTATAGGGAAGTTTCAGAAATGATTCGTCGATGCAGCAGTACTTTTATTTTATTCCTTTTTCAAATTATCCTCCACATAAATTGCGTCGCTGTACATTCACGTCTGGTCGTCTCGGTCGACTCGAACAGAGAGAGAGCAGCCCGCTCCCTCCTTGTTCCCGCCTCTTTATCTCTATTACTATTGGTGGCGGCATAATTGTAACACCACCAACGTCACGTGACTCACTATGGTTCCAAATTTGAAATGTAAGTAGTTTGTGAGTATGGATTATAGGGAAGTTTCAGAAATGATACGTCGATGCAGCAGTACTTTTATTTTATTCCTTTTTCAAATTACCCTCCACATAAATTGCGTCGCTGTACATTCACGTCTGGTCGTCTCGGTCGACTCGAACAGAGAGAGAGCAGCCCGCTCCCTCCTTGTTCCCGGCCTCTTTATCTCTATTACTATTGGTGGCGTGACGACATCACGTGACTCGCTATGATTTTAAATTTGAAATTTAAGTAGTTTGTGAGTATGAATTATTGGTAAGTTTCAGAAATGATACGTCGATGCAGCAGTACTTTTATTTTATTCCTTTTTTAAATTACACTCCATATAAATTGCGTCGCTGTACATTCACGTGTGGTCGTCTCGGTCGCCTCGAACAGAGAGAGAGCAGCCCGCTCCCTCCTTGTTCCCGGCCTCTTTGTCTCTATTACTATTGGTGGCGTGACAACATCACGTGACTCGCTATGATTTTAAATTTGAAATGTAAGTAACAAATTAGTCAACTGAGTGTTATTTATGTATTGAAGGTAACACAAGGAAGATTCCTAGAAATCTTCTACCTGCATATGTCCATTAAACATAAAAAGCAACGGATGGACAGTATAAATCTTTACGTACTCAAATCCCAATATTTGTCTTGTAATGGGATTAATGAGGAAAGAAACGGAGAATAAATCAAAGTACACGAGCCCAGATGACGGCAGAGAGAATAGATAATGGCAACAAACAAGATTATCCATATCACATGGTGCAAAAATACATTTGTATTTACTGTGAAAGAAATGAAATACAGTGGATTTTCTTTCTATGTTTAGTAATAATGTAGAAGAAGAAACAGAAGAAAAACATTTATTGACAACCATTATTGATATAAAAATACATACAATATATATATACATATGCACACACATACATACATACACACGTAGAACAATTACAAAAAATCATCTTTTATTATTTATACACTAGCTGATCCCGCGACTTCGTCCGCGTGGAATTTAAGTTTACTTTTCTAAAATAAAAGTAGCCTAAGTTACTCCTTATTACATCAGCTACCTGCCAAAAAAAGTCGCGCTAAAATCGGTCTAGCCATTTCAGAGATTAGCCGGAACAAACAGACCGACAGACAGACAAACAAAAATTATAAAAATGTACCGTATACATATTCATATGCATGTATGTAGTAAAAAACGGTTATTTCAATATTACAAACAGACACTCCAATTTTATTTATATGTATAGATATGGTTGGCATCATGGCTGACACTCAGCATATGCCGTGACAGCTAACTGTCACGGCGCTGGTATTTTTTTTTATGGATGATAATGGAATGGTGCACCCGCCTGCGCTAACGGTTTACGCTGGCGAGGCACCAGTGGAGGATGATAAGATGAACATGAGGTCAGGTTAGTTAGCCCATCGTGACAACCTCACCACGAACTTATCATGATGGTTTCCAGGGGGAACCGCGTGGAGGTCAACCTGACATGGTACATTGCTAGTAATGGGGTCATGAGTCCACATTACTAACAATCTCCTTTCCCCCACGGCGCTGGTATTCTGTGCTTGCCATTAGTGACATAACGTACTGCTCGATGTTTCAGTTTTTTTTTTGTTTTATTTGTCCTTATAGGAAAGGCAAAGAGTCTGAGCCCATACAGCCGTAGTCTTTGGTATCATTTCTGTATTTTAATTTATTTTTTTAACCTTAGTGACTGATGTCGCTATTGTTACTGATAGGCAGCAATCATTTTTACAACATGCTCGAGACTTGCCACGTATACAATTAGAATTTTAAAATTATTATCATTGAAGGGAAAATAGAAAAGAATACAGTTACAAAAAGACTACAAGCCCAAAAGAATACAAAGTTTTGTTTACTTAGTTGTCTGATTCAAATTCAGAATATCTTTATTCATGTAGGTCTATTACAGACTCTTATGATATGTCAAATCTACCGTCAGTTCGGAATGATATCGAGATGAGAAGAACTGACAAGAAACTCAGCTCGTATTCTTTTCAAATAATAGTGGAACATGTTTATAATGATATACAGTCATTAAAATCAAATTTGGGAGAATAGAGTGACCATCAGCATATACCACTGTGTTACTCTATACACTATACTAGTAGATTCGTGCAACTTCGTCTACTTATTTTTTCCGTTTTTCCGATCGATCCCTCGTACAATTCAAACAGGGATCGAAATTACAGTGGCCTGTGTTAACCTCTATTGGTATCTTTAGATTAAAGTCGATATCCATCAGGTAGAGTTAATTAGTAAACGCTCTTCGGAGGTTTGGGTATCCATCATGCAGAAGTTGGCCTGCCGGCCGCAGTCTATGTTCTTCTGCAGGTTTGGAATGCCATCTGTACTTACGGTGCAAACATTTGTATTCATATGTTGGTTTATATAGGTCTGAGTAATAATGCAAGAGTAATAAGGCAATAATAAGTTTTCATTAATTCATAGATTATTATTAATAATATGTGATTACATTATCATTCTCCAAAAGCGCCCAGCCAACGTAAACCGTTAGCACAGGCGGGTGCACCATTCCATTATCATCCTTTAAAAAAAAACACCTTACAATAACCCAGACAACCCAATAAAAATAGGTTATTATTATTACTATTACGTCCCTAATAATTGAACTCTCTTCTTAAACTTCACGGCTTGAACGTGCATACATTTTTTACAGCCTATAAATAAATCTCTTTTAATTAAGTTTTACAGCTTGTTAAAACGGAGTAACTCGTCATGATTACTGAGGCCTATGCCTCAGTAAGGAGGTTGTTATTTCTTCTATCTGACTGTAATCGTAAAACGAAATGCTAATTTTATTCCGCGACAGCTGAATACAGAAAAAAGGAAATGAACTGCAAGAATTTGATCACTTGGACCATTTAACAGAATTAAACTGTGTTCCGGCTGAAGAATAGAATAGAATAGAAATCCTTTATTGAAATAAACTTAATTTAAGCATTAGTTTTAACATTTTTTACATATATACTGTTTAAAAAAAATATATAATATGATGACTAAAATATATTATCAAAAGGGGTTCAGCGTTCCCTCTTTGAATAGCTAGACTAATTCTTTGTCCAAGGTAGCTGCCAGCTCTTCGGTCTTCTGTGATGTCGACTAACCTTTTCGTTATTTTTTTGAAAAGTCTTATATACTGTTTTAAACTTGACGCGGTCATTACTTATACATATAATTAGTAAAAATCACGGGATCTTACCACGTTTATTTATTTGCTGAGTTCCAGATATTTCGGCAGTGTTTCAACCACCATGATCACGGAAAACTAAAGAGCAGCGGGTAGATGGTAAATGAAATCTTTTTATGGGCAGACATATGCGTCTACCTTCACACGTCTTCGTTTGTTGCTGCTACTGGAACTCGCTCGATATTCATCTGGGCAAACTGTACTCACAGTATCTTCACGTACATTTAATACATTTTTCAATCGCGTTTTTTGTTTTTGTTTAATTAAACTAATCACTGGATTCCAGGCATTAGAGAGCCTATAACCGTCTTCTCGATTGAAATTTTATATAAATATAAAACGTGGTAAGATCCCGTGATTTTTACTAATATAATATTTTTATAATCTACCGCTCTTTCGGAAAGCTATCTCATCACAAGAAGAAAGCAAGAAACTTGTGTGTTGCTCTTTTAAATAATCCTTGTAAGTTCACACTTTTCCAGCAACGAACCGTATGGAGGTAAACCTGATATAGTGCATTGCTAGCAATGGGGTTATTAGTCCATATAACTAACAAATCCCCCATTGGATGCGAGCAGCGCAGGACCGATCGTCGTGGAGATCTTTGGGGGAGGCCTATGTCCAGCAGTGGACGTCTTCCGGGCTGCGATGATGATGATGATGATGAATCCCCCATTTCGATATATATTAGGTACAGATTTATAAAAAATAAATCTAAGTATTTGTATCAGTTGTCTAGTACCCATAACACAAGCTCTGCTTACCGGGGAACCAGATAGCTCTGTGTTAATTGTGCATTTAAAAAAAAATCCACACGGACTAAGTCGCAAGTCGCAACTAAACTGTCATAAAGTTGTTTGTGTTAAGACCCTATTAACTGTATTAAGAAGGTTTCATAAGAGTTAGCATCGACAAAACTGAATCTGTACCCAAACTGAAATGCTTTCTCAAAAATGCAATTATTTTTATAATAATTATAATGTTTTTTTAATCCTTTGTGTACTCAAAGTGAAATACTTTTCCTAAATACAATTATTTATAACCATTATTATGAGTTTTTTTTTAATGCTTTTTTTTTTATTTTTCCAGGTACATATCATAACCAACAAGCTGTTCTAGAATGTTCCCAGTAAGTATACAAAATCGATATTTCAAATTTAGAAATCTGTTAATAATATATCTGGATATTTCGGGGTGGCTCAGACATGCAATGCAACTCTATCGCTGGTTGTACATATGTAGAAAATTTATATATATAAATTTATATATGTATACATAAACGTAAACTTACTAACTATGTATATATAACTTACTTATAATATTATAAATGCAAAGGTAACTCTGTCTGTCTGTCTGTCTCGCTTTCATGTCAAAACCACTGAACCGATTTAAATGAAATTTGGTAAACAGATAGTCTAGTCCCTGAGAAAGGACATAGGCTAATATTTATTAAGAAAAAAGGGTTGTAATGTGTTGAAAGGGGGGATGAAATGTTGCATGGAAGAATCGTCATTTTAGAAGCTATGTAGAAACTTGAAACTTATTTTTGATGCTGTTGATTAAATATAAGTAAATAAGCTAAAACGATATTTTTTTTAAATTGGGTTTTATTGGGTTAGGTCGTTAAATATTGTGCGAGGAATCGAACCCGCGACCGTCAGAAGTAAAGCGATATGCTACACCACTAGACCACCGAGGCCATCCGCTAAAGTTATCTAACATGAAATCATAATATTAATATTAGATTTAAAGAAAAACTTGCTGTCCCCAAGTATCCTTTAGAAAAAGTCAATAGGAATATCAGTTTTATGGGAATAGGTATAAAAATTTATATAAGATTAATTACATTACACACAATAAGATACCAAAGGATATACTGGAATAATCGTTAAATAAATTCAAAACATCTGTTAAATCATATTTACTGAGCAAGTGCCTATTACTCACTAAACGATTACTTGAATGACGAGCGTGCATGGCAATAGTTGTTCATGCACAGGATTTTCATTTAATGTTAGACATTGTAAATAAACTGGCATTTAAAAAAAGTAATTCAATTGAGTTGCTAGTTCTTCTCAATTTCGATCTATATACTGAACTGGACAGTAAGGAAAAAATTTTAATATAAAAAATTTGATGTTCATCTTCGGATGAAAAATGTCCTGAAAAACATGAATAAATGCTTTTTTAAATTTAAATCAAGATTATCTACGAGTAATTTAAAAAAAAGTTAAGTTACGGTCCTCTCATATGTGTACATACGTAAAATAATACTCAAGTCAAACATGTGGCTCTATCCGGGTAACAGAGTTCAATAAAATACGGTTATTCCGCATCGACTAATAATAGAGAGTTGAACAAACAAACAGAACCCGGACTTAATTATTCTGCGACTGATCTCAATGATCCTTGAATCCTTTGTTCCCATTTTCTTTGTTCTGAATGTTTAATATAGTTTCAAAATAATAATTACGTATTGCTGAAACATACGCGTATATTCTCCGATATAAATAACTATTATAGATAATCTTAATAATATTATAAACACGAAAGTCTGTGAGTATGGATGTTTGTTACGCTTTCACTCAAAAGATGAAAGTTTACAGTAATATAGCTTATGCATCAGAGGTTATATTTATAAATTTATATACTGATATTTGAGGAGGGTGAAACTGCGGGCCCAACTAGTATATAATAATAATCAGAGACAATAATAATATCAGGACAATTCACACAGCGCCATCTAGACCTAAGTTAAGCTAGCTAAAGCTTGTGTTATGGGTACTGGATAACTGATACAAATACATAGATTTTATTTCGTAAATTCTTATCACTACGACTGATTTAATCTTATTGCATATTTATATTTGACCCAAAAAATTTGTGCTTGTTGGTAGTTTGTATTCACACGTTTCGACTTGTAAATGTGAACTTACAAGGATTATTTAAAAGAGCAACACACAAGTTTCTTGCTCGTTCTTCTTGTGATGAGACAGCTTTCCGAACGAGTGGTAGATAAAAACAAATTGTTATGACTATTCAAAAGTGCTTAAATTAAGTTTATTTGAATAAATGATTTTCTATTCTATTCTATTCTAAATACATAACATACATATAAAACACATACCGATACAAATAATCATACTCATGAATACATATGTTTATACCGTGCGAGGAATCGAACACGCGACCATCGGAAGTAATGTGGTGTGCTAAACCGCTAGACCACCGAAGCCGTCATGTACGGGACATATTAAACAAAACAATATAAAAAAACATTAAGTAGTGCAATAGAGTTCCACAAAAAAAAACACCTAATTCTATAAACAAAAATGTAAACACTTAATGCAGGTGGGTGCACAATTCCATTATCATCTAAAAAAACTGATGCCACTCACCATGATAATACGTCTGATGATTCCAAGATATCCCACACTCATCTTAATACTTCTAAAGATCTAGTATCATACGTCTAACTATCACAAGATATCCAACACTCGTCTTAGCACTTCTAAAGATCTAGTATCATATGTTATAACTATACAAGATATCCCAACTCGTATATACTTCTAAAGATCTAGTATCATATGTCTAACTATCACAAGATATCCCCCCCTCATCTTAGCACTTCTAAAGATCTAGTATCATACGTCTAACTATCACAAGATATTTCATACATAACATCTTAATACTTCTAAAGATCTAGTATCATACGTCTAACTATCACAAGATATCCAACACTCGTCTTAGCACTTCTAAAGATCTAGTATCATACGTCTAATTATCACAAGATATCCCACACTCATCTTAGCACTTCTATAGATCTAGTACCATACGTCTAACTATCACAAGATATTACACACTCATCTTAGTACTTCTAAAGATCTAGTATCATACGTCTAACTATCACAAGATATTTCACACTCATCTTAGCACTTCTAAAGATCTAGTACCATACGTCTAACTATCACAAGATATCCAACACTCGTCTTAGCACTTCTAAAGATCTAGTATCATACGTCTAATTATCACAAGATATCCCACACTCATCTTAGCACTTCTATAGATCTAGTACCATACGTCTAACTATTACAAGATATACACACTCATCTTAGCACTTCTAAAGATCTAGTATCATACATCTAACTATTACAAGATATCTCACATTCATCTTAGTACTTCTAAAGATCTAGTATAATACGTCTAACTATCACAAGATATTTCACACTCATCTTAGCACTTCTATAGATCTAGTATCATATGTCTAACTTATACAAGATATCCCACATTCATCTTAGCACTTCTAAAGATCTAGTACCATACGTCTAACTATCACAAGATATTTCACACTCATCTTAGCACTTCTAAAGATCTAGTATCATACGTCTAACTATCACAAGATATTTCACACTCATCTTAGCACTTCTAAAGATCTAGTACCATACGTCTAACTATCACAAGATATTTCACACTCATCTTAGCACTTCTAAAGATCTAGTATCATACGTCTAACTATCACAAGATATTTCACACTCATCTTAGCACTTCTAAAGATCTAGTACCATACGTCTAACTATCACATGATATTACACACTCTTCTTTGTACTTCTAAAGATCTAGTACCATACGTCTAACTATCACAAGATATTTCACACTCATCTTAGCACTTCTATAGATCTAGTATCATACGTCTAACTATCACAAGATATCCCACACTCATCTTACCTTAGCACTCCTAAAGATCTAGTGTCATACGTCTAACTATCACAAGATATCTCACACTCGTCTTAGTACTTCTATAGATCTAGTATCTATATAGCGCTTTCCATCTGTGCCTCTAATTACGTAGTGTCTAATTAACATTCATTGAATAGCACTTGATTAAGACTAGGGTAAATATAGATCGAAAACTGGAACACAGCTTTACATACAGAATACAATAGAAAATCATTTATTCAAATAAACTTAATTTAAGCACTTTTGAATAGTTATCATTCTTTTAATCTACCGCTCATTCGGAAAGCTGTCTCATCACAAGAAGAACGAGCAAGATACTTGCGTGTTGCTCTTTTAAATAATCATTGTAACTTTACATTTTTAAGTTTAAGTGTGTTAATACATACTACCAATTGGCACTAATTCAATTAAATTGAAAAAATATTGAATATACAATCAACTGGGAATTTGAAACGTGCGAATACAAACCACCAACTAGTACTACTTTATTGGCTTCAGATATTAAATACACAATAGGATTAAAACAGTCGTAGTGATTAGAGCAGAGCAGTCCCTACAAGCAGCACTCGTTCATGTATGACGTATGAGCCAGCCATCACTGCGTTCGACCATACTTTAGGGAGTCCAATGACCCGAATGACAGAACAAAAATGATCCTTATGAATTATTTTGGTGATTTGTTATTGGTATTATCAGCATTTTCATCATGACAGGTTTAGTTGAGAGACGATCTTTACAGCATTCCATGGCTTGACAGCGTGGGAGCCGGGTTCATTGTGTGATAGAGAGGAAAACTCAAAGCAATTCCCTTTGCTGATGTATGTAACACACTCGATCACTGCTCGTGCTTCTTTCCCTGCTCAGCCAAATCTGGTAGGAACCTGCCAGTGCAGTTTTAGATACACGTTCTATTACAGAACTTACTTCAGTTCTAGACAGACCAGTCTTCTAATGTAGTTAGATACACGCTCTAGTATAGAACCCACTGCAGTTCTATACAGGCCAAATATAGAAGATTGTAGAAAGATTTCGCTAGCATACATTTTGCTCCCACTTCGAAAGCATATAAATTAACCACATAGTAATTTTTCGTTTATTAGTTGGTAATAATTATTTATTTATATTAATAAGCGGGTCTTAACACGAATAATTTTATGGTAAATAAAGGTATTTACCTCTCGACGTCCCGACTAGGTTACACTGACTAGAGTAACAGCGATGTCAACGTAGATAGGTGACAGCAGTTTTATCTACCGTCACTAGATTGTTCAACGAAAGTTCACGACAAACAGCACTCACGGTATCCGTACACTTAAACACGAAAATTTAATAATATTTGTTTTTATTGCATAGTCTGATGGTTTTTTTTACTATGGTACATTGTTCTACTAG